AGCAAAACTTGTCTACTTTCTCTACAACTTCCCCGGTCAGGATGAGGCTGGGGACTGGGCTAACCCAATCCTGGAGCAGCATTTTATACTTTGAAGGTACAAAGCGCATGCCAAACATCGCTATCACCTCATAGCTCGCAGGGTCATTGTGATGGCTTGAACGCCTCAATGATCCTGTGAGCTATACAGGATGGCTCGACCTACCCATTGACCAAGATGATCTTTTTATCAAGTGTGCTGATCATGTCACCATAGGTTCCAATTTCCTAGATGATTTCCTCTTCTCACAGCTTGAAACTAGTTTATCCGCCTTAAGCTTATGGTCTTCGTATTCCAAGTTATCTCTCAATGCCTCTAAATGTAGGGATGTCACCTTCTTACTAGGCAAAGGAGAACGGCTACATTATTTGGAAAGGAATTGTTCTGGACCCTATGTTAACAACCAGCCTGTTTCCCCAGTACGTTCTTTGGAATACCCAAGATCTCACCTTGCTTCCACATTTAAACCCTAATTTCAAAAATATTCGACGATTGTTTCCTCATTTCCCGTTTACGATCTGTAAAAGTTCCACTGTGTTTACTCATTCGATTTGCATATTCTTGTGTTGTTACTCATCTTCTTTGCTGCTCCCCATTTTTATTTGTCGCTCTTGCAGTCAAAAAGTACACAATTCTACACCGGTCTATTAAAATTATTTCGCGCAAGTGGTATTCCCTATTAGCACTTGCTTAACTTTAATGCCGACAAACATTTCACCTCTTGCGAAAACTTCGCAACACTATTCCATCAAACATCACTCACCAATTACACGCAGAACGTAAACAATGAGTATCCACTTGGGTGACTACGTTTCGTTATAAACTTGTGTATGCGCGTACTACTGCCCGTTATCCCATACCTTTGGAGATTTCTGGCACGAAAGGCGTTCGTTAGAGAAAACTTACTGAATTTCCTACGTAAATGATATCCATTTTCAAACTTCTACGCCATATTCCTCTTAAATTTACGATGCTGTATTTCACTTTTTCTTTGTGACTGCATGCGATGATAAATGATCTTGGTGTGCAAGGAGCTGAGAATCCATCCATTAGGATAAATGAAGCGATTTTTGACCTGACTTGAATTCAGTTCTGCGTCAATTTTGCGATTCACGCCTACCCTGTTCCCGACAAACTTGCATCAATCAACACNCAATTGACCCCGGCTGAGTCACTGACCCAGCCAGCCCGAATTCAATCTACTTTGACCTTCGCTAATCGTAATCCATTTCACCGCTCGTATTGTATCAGGATAACAGTAGTTTGTTAATCACTGTCGCACTCCTGTAACAAGTGTTAGGAGTAAGTGGTCTAACGGGCGTCAAGTCGAGGATACACGCACATATCCAAATCACTTTAATCCGTTAAATGCTCAACTCTCGGTTAAGCAAATGGAATTAATTATTCACTCAGATTGCTCCAGTTCCCACATTTGAGAAATTTTGACTGCCCAATGCATAAGGAGTATACCAGAGGTGGGGGGGGGTATTACAAAGCACTGCAGAGAAAAAACAAAGGAACAAACAGATAGATTGGAAGTTAAAGTTCCACAACTGACTACCGTCAACTGAACCTTCAAATGGTTGGCGGTTCAACGGGTTGCGGAAAAGATATCACGACAGGAATGGCATGCATTTACTGTCTGAAATACGTTCACCCCGAGCTCACGCGTGCGCACCAAACTGACCTGTAAACACTACTGTGTGAATGACGACCGTCTAAGCACGATGAATGTTCGACGGCCGTAGTCGACAGCTCTGTCATCCCCAAAATAAGCCAACGAAACTCTTGTACGAACTGTTGCACATCCTTGCCCAAAGAACTGCTCAAAATATCTAAATGACCCAACCTAAATGAAGCAAAGACATTCGAACACTAGTTCAAACAGCTGTGACTAGTGTCGACTGTACCAGCACGTAAACAAGACCATCAGAAAACATGTAGCCGTCATTACAGGATTTAGAATTGACACGGGGTAAAAACGAGAACCGCAATGGTTGAAATGCCTTAATAATAAGTCAAGCTAGTTTTCGTAGCCTGTAGATATGCTTAACTTACCATTAATTAGTTTTTCTGTTGTTTTTTATCAACATCATTCTCATGTGCGTCGCTCGAAATCAATCTGTCGCTTAGTTCACTTTATTGTATGAACGAAAATCCCAGGTCACATATTTCACACCCTTTCGATATAGCCATTGGTCCAGAACGTATTTTATTCAGAGATACATCGCTGGAGTGATTAATTCTGTCCTGGCTGCCATTTTTAAGTATCACTTTGACTGCAAATGTGATTACCTGACAATGCTGAAGCGTTGTTCATTTCCGAAGTGAGGCCACCTGGTGTCAAATGCCAACCGCCACTGTTTGTGACAGAGTTTTGTATCCTTTGTAAGGATAAGCCAGATTCATCTGGATTCGGCCGGTCGGTGGGTTGGTTCAATGCCGGATTAGACGTGTCCCAGCCTCGTGCCATAAGGTTTTTAGAAGGTACAATGAGCGTGACTTGTAAAGGTTGCATCCGAAGTAGCACATCGATTTCTGGTACTGAAAGGAATAAACAAGAGAAAACATCAAGACACACGTGGTAAGCAAGCAGGCTTAGATGAAACTTGTAACCTACAAAAAGCGACGATTTTCTACAGAACAGAAAACGTATGGAATATATGTGATCCATGACTCTGTGGGTGGTTGTCATGTTTCAGTTTCAAAAATAAAACTCCGCTGCAAGCAAACCTTGTAGCCTGGCTGGTAACTTCAGTGAGTAACATTCAACTGCGTGCATCCAAGTATTACGTTTACGCTCCATGAGGAAACTGACAACTAGATAACACATCTTGATGTTTGCATCAAACGCAACCAAGAGAGGTTTGCCCAAGGCTCAATGTATAGAAAAAGCACGCGGTCGGGACAGTGAAATCATTTTCAAAGTTTCATACCGCTCAAAAGAAAGCGTAACTTGAAACAGTGTCTCGTTAACAGAGTGGAGAAAATCTGATGGGTCGATACAGTTCAGAACGAGTTAGAATTCTTGCACTGTCTCCCAGACCGATTTGTGGGCAGCATAATAAGACGCCAGATAAATGAGGGGAAAACTATTGGAGTAGAAAAGAAGCAATCTTACAAAAGACTACCATTTACCGGTGATACTATGACGGGGATGGTTACTCTAACGTACACAACTGCGATCGGTCAAACGTTCTGTGCAGCAAAACTGCGTGTCACACTGGCATATAGACCGGTCATCAGGCTGCAACTCAAAGATAAAGTTCCTGGGTTCAGCGTTTACTCTTCTACTTGTTCCTGCGGAACAGCGTACACCGGTCGCACCAGCAGACGCTTGATTCGGAGAGTCTGTGAGCATTATCTGGCTGGGTTGCACACTGGGATGAAAAGGTAAATAACGAGCGCAATCCTTTGACACCTCGTTGAGTCAGGGCACTTAGTTGACCTGACCATGGCGTTTCGTCTCCTGTAGCAGATGTTTGAATAACGATCTAGGCGAATTCAACATCGCATCCTGGTCACAGTGGAAGCAGTGGGAATTGGGATTCACAATCTACCCTGGTGTGCGTAAAAAAACAATTTGCGAAGCTATCATCTTCCATGTTCGGTATGCATTTTGCACCTTCAAACTGTAAAATGTTACTACCAGACTGGGTTGGTCCAAAACCTAGCCTCATTCTTACCAGGGAAGTAACAGACCAAGTGGACAAGATTTATTAGTTGGGAAGCCATGTCTCACTCAATGAACGTATCACACATGAAGTGTCAGATCGCATACAGAAGGGTTTGATTGGCATTTACCAATCCGATACATCTGTGGCACCGCCGCGACACCCGGTTATCCGTAAAGGTTCAAGTGTATGTTGCGGCAATTCGGCCAGTTTTGTTTAGCAGCACAGAAAATTGGTCAATAAGAAAACAGGATAAAAATGCTATTAGTGTTCGAACATCACTTTCGAAGCAACAGCCGACGAATCTCGTGGGGCAACCGAACAAGATGTCACCGGCGTTCTTCGCACCCCATGGTCCGAAGTTCGAGCCTAGACACCGACACCCAACTTGAGTTCGATACCACGCCTAATCTAGCGGGGCCTTATGTGATTCGGCACTCCAAGTCCTAGGGCTTGGGCTGCCCGTTTCTATCACTGAACAGCAGGTCCCCGTAACTATGGGGTTCGCCCCGTCTGCTGTTCATCACACAAATGTGTGGAATAAAAAATGTTGAGGATAGACGCAAAGATTTAGGTAACCGCGGGCGCCCACTGGAGCAAGTAGCCGACCTCCACGTTGGCTGGGGCATCTGTTACGCATGTCACCAAATAGGTTGCCACAGGGCTCGTTCTTTTCCGAGGCAGGTAGTGGGTCGAAAATGTCAATGGTGGTTCAAATGAGACCTGGTACGAGGGTATGAAAACCCTAACTAGGAGACTCGGTCATATAGGCATCGCTAGCGTTTTGGATGGAGACCCCGAGATTATGGTGACCGCTGGTTTGAGGCACTGAGTGACATGGCTGTGTCGTAAACAGTAGCGCTCGTGTATCTATTCCGTATTCTTGCAACCTTAACATCCATGAATTCTCTTTTTCTCACTCCAACACAAATGAGAAGTCATGATGAAACAACCAAAAGCGGGGCACGAATGTGTATGATTAACAGTTGCAAAAGCCAAAACCGAAACGTACAGATGAACAGACATCGATCGAAGCAGAAAAACAATTTCGGTTAATCTCTACAGCTATTGACGCGAGAAGGTTATCCAACTCTTGGTAGCAGTAATGATCTAGGATTGTGCTTAGATCAGTGCAGTACGTGTCGTAGTGTCAAATATCGAACATCTGGGTGAGCTCGACTGACACTTTATCAGTGTCTACCTGGAATTGCCCTCTTCCCTCAGTCTACAAACCTTTAATGCCGTGTGCGGTGGTTCGGTTTGTGTGCTCAAAAACGGGTACTACGGAATCCAGCCGCGACCGAACTATTTATCAGGAAAATGTTGTGGCTCATAAATTTCACTTCTTCGCATTTGTACCTGGATAACCTTGAATCGGATAGTGTCTCCTACCTGGAATTAGTTTATCTAATCGCGAGAGAACCGCAGAACACCTTATCTCATACTTGTGTATTGGTCACTCCCAATAACCGGCCCCTCGGAAACGAAAAACCGGTTTGAAGTTCCATTGGAGTTAAGTGCAAAAAATAACCCCGGTGTCACCCGGCTTTTTATTCCTTCCCCAATTATACAAGCAAGCGCGTGTTGCAAGACAGTCATTGGCTTGCAAATCATTGCACATGGATCTAGCCTTTGGGCGGTTTCATAGATATAACTCGGTTCAGTACCAAGTGTAACCTAACCGGACCCTGTGCGGTTCGCCACTCCAAGTTCAGGGGCTTAGATTGCAGGTTTGCATCATTGGAAAGCAGGCCCTCGTGGTTATGGTGTTTAGACCGTCCGTTGTGCATCGCATTAATGTGTGTAATAAAAAAGTTGAAACCTAGGCATACATAAATCCCTGCGAGTTGGGCAGATTTCCTTCGCAGTAGCTGTCCTCGTCAAGGTCTTCCAACCCCAGCTATCTTCAAATTGCATTGGTTTCTTGGCTGACTAGGTTGCGGCCGTCGCCGCATGCCTCAGAATCATAGGTGGAGAATTGGGAAAATAATCCGGACAAAAGAGATTAGACACCTGTCGGGGGAAAGAAACTTTGCTGATTGTTGGAAAAATTAACGCTGTACTCTCCGTTTTCATCACAATTATGCCTGTATTTATAACTCTTATTGAATAAGTGCAAGCATCATACAATACGCATAAGGCTGATATCCAACCCGCATATTAAACCTCGTCAATCATACCAACGGTAGTTTAAGTACCGAAAACAGAACAGACCTGGGGTCAAGAACTGCGTGCAACTTTTATTATACCGTACGAAATCGGAATTTATAATTGAAAAGTGGAGAAAGTCAGTGGTCTTTCTGATGCAAGTGCCAAAATTTACCTCCAAAAACACCATTACTCTTATCCTTATCCGTCGTCGCAAACTCAAGACCGTTAGACTCGATGGGATCTCACATTAAGTTTTGATTGGCGAATCAGAAAGATTAGCACCAAAACTGCAGTTTGTTTGCGATCGAGGAGTTTGATTTTTGATCAATTTAATCTCCGTACCAGATTTCTCTAACCAGCTATTTTTCTCGATGGTTCGTAACGAAACTTGATCAACGCTATGACCATTAGTGTGTTGGAAATTAGCACACGAATACATCTATCTCAGTTTTATCCAGAGAATCATGAAACAAAACGGGAAAATAAGTATAAAATTTCGCATGATCGATGACTTTCATTCAAATGGGTCATGGATTTGTTGTATGACATACTATCACCGATTCCCGAACCGTTAGACGTTCCCCGAACCATAGCAGTCAATAGAACATTGAAAAAGTGCGAGCGTTTATCGGTGGCACCAGAAAAAGTGGACTGACCGAGCGAGAACCGTGATATATTGGTAGATTTTTTCCGGAAAGGGAATTACGAGAGCGCCGATGGAACTGGACATAGCAGATTACCGTATTGTGTCCGTTATCATGGGTCCAGCAACATCGAGAAAACGCCAGCACTTTCCCGTGATGGCAATTGATCCCAATCCATTTCAAATTCATACGGCAGGAATTATCAGGGGAAGTTGGGCTTCCCCTGGCAGGATCAAAGATATATCTGGCTGTGCCATTTTTCAATAGGCGAAACCAATCGCTTTCCTCTATGCGATCCGGCGTTAAACGAGGACAGGACTAATTGGCATACACCGCAGGATGCTAGATCATGCGTATAAAAGAACTATGGTAAATCCAGAATGGTTAATTTTTGAGCAAGTTCTCCGTTGTTTCTGTTTTGATTACGTTTAGGTCAATGTATCTCCTGGACCCCCAAAGTTATCTCCCGTCTAGATTCAACACGACTACCCTTTAAATGGAACGATCTATAAAAGATGACAAGAAGAAGCATTCCCGTATGATATACTTCGCTCGGATTTTGCAATCTCTCACTCGGCGGATGCATAACGGATGCAGCGTCGGGTCGAGTTCACTAACTTGCGTAACACCTAGCGTCGTCATCCAACTGTATGTGAAATCGTCATCATCATCCAGCAGCGAAATACAATGAAACGAAATTCACTGGTCGCTGCCAAACTCGCAACTCACAGAAGGTTGGTGGCAATGTGTAAGGTGGACACACATGGGACCTAAATTGAGTGCACAATCGAACACAGCACACATCCCGATTCAGGCATTCTGATCTGATAAGAAATGACAAAATTACCGCCACTGCTGTCGGTTCGCTCCATATCCTTCAATGTCTCAAACCAACCGGTTGAGGAGTATTTCGGATCGCAATCTGGAAGGCGCGAAACACCTAATATCCAGAAAAAAGAGAAATGTAGCCCATCCGAGCCTGCTGCCTTTCGTCGATTTAGAGC